ACAAGAATTTTTATGGGAAAGGAAATCTATCTAAGATTTAATTCTGGAAACTGCACTAAGAACAAAGAGAACACAGAGAGGAAATGGATGTGAAGGAAACTCAAGAGAAGAAAGATTTTCAGGACTTGGGGGCATGGTCAGCATGTGTCAAATGCTTCAAGAGACCAAGCAGGCAAGGAAACAGAATGAGACTTTTGGTTTTGAACAGTTTTGTAAGAATGGAAATATTCCAGGAAAAATTAAAGATGGCCTCCAGGGAGTTGATCATGTTATAACAGAAGCAGAAGTGTAGGCCACCAAGAGCAAGAGTGGACCTGGAGTGGTAGTGGCAAGAAGAGAATATTCTAGAACACTCTCTTCTGGAGATCTGGGAGAGTGACCTGAAATGAGAAGCCATGATATCAGGTGAGCAGAAAAGGGAGGGCTTCTGTTCCAAGGACTCCGAATGGAATTATGGAATTTTGCCCAAAATAAGAAGTAAATTTGAACTTCTGGGTGCAAGATAACCGTGTCCAGCTTGTACTGAAATAAGAGCAGGTGTGACTAGAGCAAATACATAGTGTCTCAAAAGATGAACGGCAGGTGGCGACCAGATTTGCAAACAGAGTGGATGGTTAAATTTTAACAGAGGTGCTTTGATTCTGAATCTTCTCCATGTGAGTGCAGCCTCCTGCCAGGTAGAGCAAACCCCAGAACACCTCCTGCACTGGCCTGGATGTTGAATGCATTGTCTCTCCATACAATGGTGTCCACTGAGGATTTTTTAACTGCTGCCACATTAGGTGTTTTTCCACTGTGAACATATTAATCTTCCCTCCCCTTTCAGCTCCAATTAAGCACTTGTCAGGTCTGAAGTTGTCATACAGCTGTCATGCTGAAAATTAACATGCTTTTGTGTCATTTGGGTTTAATCCTTTAAAATGAGATTAGCCAGAGTCTTAACTTGGTTTGATACTTTTTTCCAAACAAAGAATTTGATCTCCATCCAAACTCTTCTCCTTTCCCAGGGTTTCTGTATCTAGCAAATGAAATTATTGTCCCTCACTCCTTACTTGTGATGCATATCTTTTGTTTTCCCTAGTTCCTCATTAGGGAATTGCTTTCCTTGAAATCTTTAGCCTACACAGGTCAGAGGGACAGGCTTCCAGCTCCTTGTTGTTCTACATAACCTACAACCCAACCCTCTTGCCTCATGTTGAAAAAAGCAGGATCATGTTTTTTCCATGTTCTGGATTTATAATCTAGCATGACAGAAAGTCAAGCTGGACCTTCTCAACAAGGCTGGAGGCCTGACATCTGAATCTATAACCTTCTCATCACTTCCAGATCTGAGAAATGGAAATGACAATTTATGGCAAAAAAAGAATAATGCGGTCAACAAGGCGGAAAAAAAGAAATAAGAGTTGTCAAGTCAACCATGTCATGGTTCCAAAACTTTGTTCCAATTTGCTTCTGAGAAATTCCTGTGTTCTTTTTGGGGGGTTCTGTGGGACACATATTTTGCCTTAGAGTAAATTCCCCTTTGCCTTGAGCTGTCTCTAATTAGTTTCTGTTATTTTCTCCAAACCTCATGCCACCTGCTTCCTGAGCTGGGCCTGGGGTGGGTTTGTGCACGGAGATCAGCGAATATTTCACAGTGTGGATTCACTGCTGGCACACAGGTATGTAGCTGAATCCTGCAGCTCCGTAGGCTGGATCTCCAGGCTGCAGGATGAGTTTTGAGTGCACTCAGCTGAAAATCTTTCCTTGGGCATCCCTGATGGATCAGAGACCTTATTATACTGGAAAGAAACCAAGAACTTGAACTGCTTTGCCAGGATCTGTTGATACCAGAAAAGGTAGTTGTGTCCTTTTATTGGGACACAAAACATTTTTACTCTCTGTCCTTTCCCTTTGATCAGATGCCTTGGAGTCTGAGTCACTTCTTGACCAAGAGAGCCTGTAGAGAAAGCAGACAGGAGTTGGAGGCTGAGGCCAGCATGGAGTCTGACAACACGGAGGAAAGGCTGAGAGCAGGGACCAGGGTTTCCCAAGGGAACTTGCCTGCAGACAGGAGACAAAGGACCACGAAGCAGGTGCGTATTGTACACATGGTATCTGGGAAACAGCAGAGGTGGGAGTCTTTCTCTGAGACTCGCTCTGCCAGTAATTGTAGCTTCTCTGTGACGTCATCACCTGGTAGAATCCAGTGGTCTCTGTTCTGCTCTGTACAAGTAACCAAATTAGGCAGAAGATATGCAACAACCATATTCTTTCATTGGAAAACAGGCAACACAGGACAGCAATTCTGCTAAAGCAAGAAAAAAGATGTGGCAATGTCTATTCATAGGGAGGGGAGAAATAGTACAACCAATTCTGAGTTGTAGGACAGAGTTTGAAAGATTAGACGGGGAGGTGACTAGAATTTGTGAGGAAGACTGCCAGAGAGGAGGAAACTACTCAGAGAACCCAGTATCTTCCCAGGGATCAGCTTACATTTCCCACTAAACAGCAGCAATCTATGTGTAGGGTGAGACTCTAGGAGGCATTAGATTAGGACCTTATAAGGACTCCCCAGCATCCGCAGAAGGGCGTGCTTCAGAGAGGGACACAATTAGGCTGAAACAGGAGTTGGCAAACTGCACCTGCAGGCTGGTCACCTGCCTCCTGCTTCTGCAAACAGTTTTATGGAGCCAGGGGAAATATTTCCAGAATGAAAATATAAAGAACTTTGCGTACTCTCTTCCCAGAGGAGGGAAAAAAAAGTCACTGCTGAAAATTTAAAAACTACTACTAGAGGTCTCTGATAATTGTGCTAAAGACATACAGCAAATAAAGAAACATTTATTCAGGAAAATCTAAATCTCAGTAAAAGTAGTGAGGCGGGATAGGGGGTCTGTGGCCTTTGAGCCAGGACCCAGTCCCTCCCTCAGCACCCTGAAGCTCAGGGTGACAGAAGCTGTACTCCAGGTGGGGTGGTCAAGAGCAGTGCACCCTTCCCCCAGCTCCTAGTCCAGGGCCACGGTTTCTCTCTACCCCGGTTCCTCTACTCACTACTCCTTGCAGTAACTATCTGCATTTTGATGCTGGCTTGGTCATAAGCAAAATAATTGAGAAAGGGCATATTGCTTGCCTGTGTCTCAGTTTTCCTATCTGTAAGATGGGTGAGACTGTGATAGTTCTTACCTCAGGGGCTTGTTGTAAACTTTACATGAACTACATAAGTGAAGAAACTTGAAAGTCTAGTGTATAGTAAGTGCTGAGAAAATGCTAATTATTATTAACATCACTAATGTCATTAAAGCGAACAATTTATAAAAGAATTTTTGTAATAGACCTTGTCATATTTTTCCTAAATTATCTTTAATGTGAAAATTTTATATTTTTAGAAAACCTCATCACTGTCTATTTCCTGCTTTTCTTTGGAACACCTTCTTACTGAGGGATACCGTTGTACGGCAATATGTAAGTATGTGCTCCCGTGTGACAACTCACAGCCAGCAGTGCTTCGTGCTCAGTCCTTCTTCAGCCTGTGGTGCCAGGGATGCAGGCCCCCCATCTTCCCCAGCCCTGTGGCTCTGCTTATTGACATTGCAGGAGTGCCCCTGTGCCTCATTAGCATTATCACCCTTTTCTACCCAGGTGACTCCATGATCAGCATCACCAATGTTCTTACTTTCCTTTATCGACCGTGGCTTCCATTTGGCCACAGCATGTCCCCTTCCAGGTATGAGTAAATGAAGGCATGATTTTTTTTTTTTAAGATGGATTTTCTCCTAAGACATTTTTCAACTTGGGGCATTAGCAATGTAGTTCCTCCAGGTCTGGATGAAAACGTGGTTTCTTATGGAATGTTAAACATTATAAGAATTCACAGAATGCCAGATTTGAGTGTTCATGATATTTGGTCTCTATTTTTTTTTGGGGGGGGGAGAAGGAAGGAAGGGCAAGAGGAGGAAGGAGTGAACTTCTGTCCATCTACCACCGGAGTCAGAGGGGCTATCAAGATGATGCTGGGTAAAGATCACCAACAGGACGCACATGTCATTGCTTTTCTACACGTGACATAACTGTCAATGTTTTGTGCAGGTTTTTGCCTAACTCTGTCCACAATGAGAAAAGGAAAGCCACAAACCCACTTCCTATTGTTGTGGGAGGGAAGGGGTGGTTCTGGAGAAAGCACTTGGATCTGGGAAACAAAGAGGTTTCTGAGTAGAGGGGAGGTAACCCTGTGCCTCTGTGTCTCACTGCTGGCACACAGGTACACTGCAGAGTCCTCCAGGCCAGCTGAGCGGATGTCAAGGGAACACAAAGAAGTTTTAGGCCGGCTAGCTTGGAAGTTATCTGAAGTGTCTGTTTGCTTATTCAATTGATTATCATAGAAGTAGAGCAACAGCTTTGGTGCGTGGCTTGGTTTCTGTTGGTACCAGTACATGATATCATGATTCAGAGTCTGAGAACAACTCAGGTTCACTGGCTTCCCCACCCTGGTAATCCAGTATCTTGGGTTCTGCATGACCATAGCACTCACAGGACCTGCACAGAAATAAAAAGGTGGAGTGAGTTAAGGAGGAGACCATGAAATGAAGGACAGAGAGCTGAGCAGAAGATATCCTTAGACAAAGATTTCCTTTCTGCTCAGGACTCACCTGCTACAAGGAGACACAGGGTTATGCAGTGGAGAAGCCCAGGACTCATGGCAGGGCCAGAGCAGGAACAAGGCATCTGTGTGTTCCAGGTTGTGATCCCTGGTTTGAGAGGAGGAGCTCTGCGAGTGCTGGGTCCTGATAGGAAGATCTGCTGTGACTTCAGCAGGGCAAGGCTCCCTGCTCACTGAAATATTATACAGTTTCCTAGTTGGCAGGGAAGCCGGGATTGGGTAGGAGGGGAACATTTATCCTCAGTACCATTCGCTGCTTCTTGGAGACAAGTGTTCCCTGATTAGTTGCTTCCGTGTTCTCCTGGCCTCCTCACCTACCCTAGCTTCTCCCACCTTCTATGAGGCAGCTCAGAGCTTCCTCCACCCATGAACAGCTTCTGGTAAAATTTCACTTGCAAACCTGTTGAGATTATTAGCTTCTAATATTACAGGCGGATGAGATGTTTGTAAACAACCTACATCTTAGTATGGAAATTGAGCCAGGAATCCCTCCATACCCATTTTTCAGAGAGTATTAAGGAAATTCTCCAGTTTCAGGTTATCAGTGGCACCATACTGCCTTCTAGTGGTCAACAAGAAATTACCCAGAAATTGCTTTCCTATTCAGAGCCCAGGAAGTCACAGGGAATAAGAAGGTTTGGCAGGGTTTCACCTCACATTTTGTTCCTCATTCAGATCTGCACCCTTAGACTGCAACACAAACAGACAGAAATGGCAAAAGCTGCTAGGTCCTTTTATTCCTTTAAAACTGAATCAGCACATTCTCATGGAAGGTGCCTGAGTTTGCTGCTACGATGTTCAGGGTCCCTTCAAATGTTTGAGGAAAACACACCATAATATTACCCTGAGTATCCACCCACATTCACATTTTGTATGTGTTTTGTATGATATTAGCTTTTTTTATTTGTGTGTGTGTGTTCCCCCTGCTTCTTTCTAAAATACCTCCTTCCTGCATTCTGTAGTACATCCAACACCAGACAATTTGGCGATTTCTGAGTTGGTGCACTTCCTGAACCTAGGAAAATGACTTCATACAACTTGGAGTACAGAGACATATCTGGTAAACAAGGTCTGGGTGGAGCCTGGTGCAGGGGCTATGTAAATGAGTACAGGGGCCATATGACTGTCAGGCATGAAGATGTTATCTAGAGCTTGGCCACTCAGTGTCATCCATGGCCCAGCATCTTGGCATCATTGCAATCTTATTCAAAATGCAGAGAATCTCAAGCTCTCAAAGTGTGAAAAGCATTGAATTAAAGATTTTTGCAGAAGTAGGAAAACATGTGAAGAGAATGTTAAGGGTATATTATAAGAAATGATATAATGTCAACACATGTAGACTTGATTTCATGAGAGCCTTCCTAAGGAGAGATCTATATCTATATCTATATATTTATCTATCTATCCATCTATATATCTATATATAGATATATATGGAGACATATATATATAAATATATGTATATAGAGAGAATATATATGTATGTGTGTGTGTGTGGGTGTGTGTATACACCCACACACACACACATACATACATATATAGTCTCAAGGAGACATTTAGAAGGTGACTGTGAGAAACTTTCTGGACTAGCTATTCCGAATCTGTACATTTCTCCACGGGCCTAATTAAAGAGGAGAATAAGAATCATCCATTTTAAGAATCTGGTAAAAATACATGATTTTTTGGTGGCCTAGGGGCTTCATAGAAGGTTCATTATTATAAAGGGGTCAATTATTCTCAAATTAGAAGTTATTATACGATTTTAATGAAATATCAGATTGGATAAAGCTGATGATATCTTGGCAAACATAAAAATCTGGGGTTATGTCATGACAAAGGCATAAAATCACATTTGTAGGCATGGGCACAGCATGGTAAACAGTGGGGGCTATTTGAGGTTGGAGGTGGCTGTTTCCATGGTTAGTTCCAATGGCCTGTGTCTTACCTGTCTTCCCCCAGGGATGAGGGCCCTATTAGAGCAGCATGTTTACAATCCTTTTGGCATGCCAGAAAGCTCTCCCTACTCTTGTACGGGGACTCTGCCCCATCCCCGGCCACCTTGGTCAGCACCCTGTGCATCTCATGTTACCACCCCATAAGTTAGTTCCCTGTTGAGCCCACTGCTGGTCACCACTTCAGAACAATGAGAGTGACAGACACAATGAACCGCCCACAGCTCTCCATTCTGGCTGATCTACTCATGTGTTCTATATTCCTGACTGTACACCCTTAAATCTACCCATTCCTAGTCCTATGAATTTTAATAGAAATATCTAGATCATTCTTGCAATGTCTTCTTGATGTGTTATGTTAGTGGGATCAAGGCCTAGTGGACTTCTTCATGATTGTCATACGCATGTGTCCAGGTTTGGGATGCATTTCGCATCCCAGAGTGATGATTAAGAAAGTTGATTTATTGATTGAAAGAAAACTGTAAAGGCCAAGGGCAGTGTGAGGAAAGAAGACACAGCGAGTTGTGCTGGGACCAGGGTCCTGCTGGGCCTGTAGTATTCATCTTCCTTATGAGGGAAGGATTTCTTCCAAAGCCCCATGGATTTCCTCTACCAGGCATCCATACACAGGCTGCTTAGCACTCTGGATCCAGGGAAGCCAGCTGTATACAGAAGTTTCCATCCTTGATTATTCACATCTAAGTTAAATTTTAGCTTTTATCACTTCTTCGAAAATGTGAAGAACTTAGAGCCTTTATCTCTTTTACTCACCCATCTTTTATGATAGTACTCACCATTATTTCCAGCTAATCCAAGGATACCTATTATTTGCTACACCAAGATATATTTTCAGTCAGAATAGGAGTAGATGGTTGGAGTGAGCTTCAAAGTTCTGGAGCTCTGTCATCAACATGGTAACTATAGTTAATAATGCTACATTGTATGTTTGAAATTTGCTAACAGAGCAGATTCCCATCTTACTAAAAAGAAAGAAAATGGTAACTGTAATCATTTCACATCAGTACTTGTATCAAAGCATTACCTGTACCTTAAATATATACAATTTTAATCTGCCAATCACACTTCAATAAAGCTTAGAAAATTAAGTAGGTTATGTTAGAAAAATGGTACGGATTTTGAAAGGTCTGAAGTAATAGAACTACAAAGGGAAATATTCTCTATGGTAGGCTAGAACATTAAATGTCTGTAATCTAAAATGTCAATGTACTTAATTAAACTTTCACTTGATATCCAGGAAATTCATCCATTGAGAACTTGGTTGGCTGGATACCTGATATTTTTAGATGTAAATGAGAGATACAAATTAGAAGAATAAATTGATAATTTGACTACTTATTATGGTCAAGTTATATAACCCAGTAAAATTTTAAAAAGCACTAGTTTTGAGTTCCCTAAATGGAATTTTGAATAAAAATTCATGTCTATCATATGACTTGGTTTTAAAAATCAATTTATTCTTGTGTTGGTTGTCCTAAAGTAGGTAGTAGACAAATCAAAAGCATGATGCATGTCTGTGGTAATATAATAGAAATGGAATATGTCTATCAATAGTACATCTCCACACAGAAAGACAAAGTACAGATCATCTAGAAATTTTAGCTTTGATAATTAGAAAAGAAACATGGGATTTGATTAGTTTGGAAATTTTAAAATCAAAGTTCACCTGTAACCTTTTCCCATTATCTATTTGTCAAGTCAACAAAAGGAATAAAATAAAAAATGACTTGAGGTGCTTAAGAATTGTCATAATTGGGGAAAAATTATTATTAGAATATATTTCAGGATTTTTTTTTGTAGAAACCTGGACAAAACAAGAAAGGAATGTGTGAATTCAGATGTTTAAAAAAGACTGTAGAATCAAGTAGGATATATTATGTTTGTAGGCTTCAAAAGAATTGTATAGCTCAATTTCTGTGAATGGAAGTGACCTTAAAAATGTTCTGGATTTATTGACACATATCTGCATATAGTTCCAACCATGTTTTTTTTTTTTAAAAGTCAGACTGTAGATAGACAGGAAAGTTAGTTTTAATTTCTGATATGAACATGGATATTTCACTAAAAATGAGATATTTGCAAATGTTTGGGGAATTTTCAGAAGCTTGAAAAAAAATGTACCCTACTTTTATCTCCACTGCCTTTACTGTCATTATTGCTGTCAACATCACTGAGCAACCAGCAATGTGTTTTGATTTGGTACTTTAGCTCCATCAGGGAGACTTGGTTAGGTCACTATAAGAAGGGACTGGAAGGTATGGATCCACAATCAGAGTCACAAGCCCTTGAAAGCAGCAAGATGTGCAAGAAGCCTGCTCAGCTTCACACCAGAGTAGCTCACACACACCTGAAAACCCAGAAATGCTGGAGTCAGGTCTGTGGGAGGAGCCTGAGCAATCTTTCAACACACGAGTCATCCAAATTGTATTAAAATACCCTGTATTCCAAGAGTTCACTCTAGTCCTTCCTCTCTTCTTTTCCTCTGGGAGAAGGCACAGGGGAAAGTTTAGGCCCAATGTGGGTTGAGGGCGGAGAAGGAGGTAGGTTTGCACAAGAGGGACATGGCTGGGCACTGCATCCTGGCTGCTGGTACAGCCATGAATGCCCGAGTCCTCCAGGTCTGCAGGATGGTCCTCAGAGAGGATGTGCCCTTCAGTCCTCTCAGCCGAGAGTTTATCATTGGCCCTTCCTGACTCAACCAATTATTCTCTCACTGCAGCTGATTCTAGGTCTCTGGGAGTGCTCTAAGCCTGGGAGCAAGCAAGATTAACAGCAATGTCACAAGCTGGCTTGGTACAGACTCAGTGACCCCAAAGCTGAAGAACTTCCATCTCATGAGTTGTAAAGGTAGCACATAGTCCTCTCTCTACCTTTTGCTGGACATCCCCCAATGTTAACATCATACATAATCATGATAAGAGTTATCAAATCTACGACTCTAACATTGGTACAACTAAACTGCAGACTAGATGCAGATTTTCCAACAATTTCCTTTTTCTGCCCTATTATCTAACCCAGGATCCCACATAGCATTAGGAGTGATGTCTCCTTAGTCGTCTGCAATCTGTAACAACTTCTCAGTCTTTCCTTGTGATCCAGGAAATTATTATCAAACAATGGGTGGACATATATTAAAACCAGCACATGAATGAATATTTGGAGGAGAACACTTTGCAACAGAGCAAATATTCTGTTTCTTCTAAAAGCCTCACCCACTAATTTCTGCCATTCATCATTGGATCTTACATGTGGCAAGTATTACAGTGGTGTGTCTAATGGTGATATTTTATTTCCCTCCATTTATTTTTTATTTTTTAATATTTATTTTTTAGTTGTAGTTGGACACAATACCTTTATTTTATTTTTATGTGGTGCTGAGAAGTGAACCCAGGGCCTCACACATGCTAGCTGAGCGCTCTACTCCTGAGCACAACCCCAGCCCCTCCCTCCATTTCTTCTACATAATTAATTTGAAATTCTTCACTGAAAGATTTGCCTTGTCTCCTTGTTTACTTAATCATTTAATTATTAATATGAATTTGTGGATTTTCTTAAATTCTTTGCATTATAAACCAGTGCTACCTTTATTTATTTTGATGCTGAAATTTGTTCCAGCCTTGGTTGCTGGGAAATCTTTCACAATGATCCCTCTGTCCTTTGAGATGCCTCATTCTTTCTTTCTTCTTCTTCTTTCTTTTCTCTTTTTAACAACTTCTTGAAACATGGCTTATCTTGTGTTTTTCTCTTCCAGAGTCCTAGAATCACATCTATTTACTTTACCTAGAGAATAGTATTTGAAAATTTTGGGGCACTAATGAGCTGTTGCTAGTGGTATTCTCAGTGGACAGAACTATGAAATCTATGTATGTACACAATACAAAAGCATATGCATTTATTCCTATATCTCTATATTAAAAAGCAACTTCATATTGATATCTCTAAGTAGATACTATTGGATCCTGTAAATACTCATGACATTTGTTCTTGGGTTTGATTAAGCTACTTGGAAATAGTGATCTTTTGAGGGTCTTGCATTTATCTGTCTTCTATCTATCTATCTATCTATCTATCTATCTATCTATCTATCTATCTATCTATTTTTGTACTGTGAATTGAGCCTAGGGCAGTTAACTACTGAGTCACATCACCACTCCTTTTTTTAATATTTTTTTTTTTAAATTTCAAGACAGGATCTCAGTAAGTTGCTGAAAGTCTTAGTTACTGAGATTGACCTTGGACTTGTGATACTCCTGCATCAATCTCCTCAATTGCTGGGATTATAGGCATGGGCCACCATCCCCAGCTGTGGGATTTCTTTTAAATTGGGCCAGATGGGCCCAGAAAAATGTTTAGTGAAGAAATTATTTTGTTTTAATACAAAGGCAAAAACGGTCAGAGAACTCTACTGATTGCCCCATGAACTCCTGAGTTTCCCTTCCTGGCTGGGAGGAATTATTACGCCCAGGCCTTCTTGAGCTCTGGACATTGTTTCCTCTTTCGTGGTGAATGTTTTTTTCTTCATCCTCTAAGAGTTTGACCATATGTGTGTTGGTGAAGACACAGCTGAAGAGTCAAGGGACACCCTCTGATAGTGTCCAGAATTCTCTTTTCAGAGCAATCATCTTTCCAGTTCTCTGCCTGGGAAATTTGGCTGCTTTGACCTCCTTGTATTTCCAACTCTTAACTCAGTGAGATCTTCAAGGTCTGCCTAGTTTCTCCCTCCGAAGCCCACAGCCTGGAATCTCCCTCCGGGTATCGGGATGTGATGGTCCTAGTGCTTAGTTTGGTTGTTGTCCATCTCTCAGGACCACTGTCTTTTGTTGACTGATTTCCAGTGTCTTAGAAACTGTCATATCATATTTTTTAAAGCAATTTCAACAAGAAGGTTAAATCTAATTCCTGTTAATTCATCTTGGTTAGAAGTCGAAATTCACTACAAATATCATATTGAATTTCTTATTATTGGGCTCTCCAGGGATTTCAATGGTTTTTGGATCTTTGGGTCAGTTTTTGACATATGGATTCCATTGCACACAAGCAGTAGGAAACGTCATTTCATACACATGTGAGGCACAGCTTGAAGTTCCAGTTTCTCTCTGCCAATTTATCTTTTTGGTTTGTCACCCAAAGGCCTGATCAAACATTCAATTTCTTACATGCATTTCTGGGTCTTTGGTTGTAATACTTTTAGTCTATGAAGAGTGGAAATTTTGAGGCTCTGGGATTAATGTGAGAGATATAATTCTAACTCCTTTATGTCATCTCTTTCTTAGGGTCTTAAACCCCCAGTTCCAATTGTGAGGCCTGTACCTGGTATAAAAGAGAGCAATAGATCATTATGACTTTACCTTTCCCTAGAACTGCTGATGAGCTATCTCTTTTTTCTTCTATATAGTGAATTTTAATTTCTTTAATTTCTTTTTCTTTTTGGATTACCTGTATATTGTTTCTTTACTTTTAAATTTTGGTGGTGAGGAGTGATTCCATTTTTGTGTGTGTGTGTGTTTATGTGTGTGTGTGTGTGTGTGTGTGTGTGTGTGTGTGTGTTACAGAGATTGAACTTAGGATCTCTTAACCACTGAGCCACATCTCCATCCCACACCCTTTTTAATATATTTTATTTAGAGACAGGGTCTTGCTTCACTAAGTTGCTGAGGCTGGCTTTGAAATTGTGATCCCCCTGCCTAAGCCTCCCAAGCCACCGGGATTAAAAGTGTGAGCCACCGTGCCCAGTGTTTTAATTTTAAAAAGAAAAACAAATAGGCTAAAATAAGGATAATCATCTTTTTACTATTCCTGTATTCCTTCTTTCTCTGGTTAGTCAGCAATACATTTTTCTATTTTCTTCATCCTTACATATACATGTAATAGTATATTTGAACCTAATTAGGGGCACTTATTGATTTATTTTTTCTTAAATAATGTCACATGCCATGCATTATTTTGTAAGTTATTTCCCTTTGACCCTCCCCTCAAGTGAATAAATAAATATGCTTATTTTGCTTTTTTTTAACTTCCATGTGCATATAAAGTAAAAATCATATATTCTCTGTGCATAATTTTTAATGCTCTTATTATTGATAGAAGTTTAATTATGATAGATGGATGCAACTCCTTGACAAATAGCAAGTTCTTTTAATAAAAGCATACAGCTGTTTATGCATAGGAGGCCTTATGGAACTCCAGATAGACTCCACAGTTGTAATACTGCTTGACAAGGACAAATAACTTTTTGTGCTATCCAAAGGGGCATAGGGAAGGCACTCCTTCCACCACCATCCCCCAGATAAAACACATAGAAGAGAAAAGAAATGTGATTTGAAGATATGGCAAGAATTTCACAATATTCTTAAAGCATGGTCTCTTAAGTATAGAATGTGAGGATACACATGGCCGTTTGCAGGAGATGTTGATCAGCGATCTGAATGAGGTGAGGAATGGCGGATGGAGCCATACAGATGGAAAGAGGAGACTGAGAAGGAGGAAGGCAACAGGAGGTTTGAGAGCTATTTTGCAGGTTTCAAATCCCTTGAATTCTGAGTCTAAAACATGAGAATGGAAGTGAATATCTGAGAGGGTTAGAGGAACTGATCAACAGATGTGAAAAAACTTAGAAATCAAAGTATTATTTAGATGTTGGAAACCATCAAGGAAGCTGGGAGTTTTTAGGTAGTAGAAACAAGAAATGTTACAGAAGACAAAATAAAAAGCAAAAGGGACGATAACGATGGTTGTGCCCTGGCTGCACAGCTTTAAGGCCACACAATCACACGAGAGCCCCATGTGTGACACTGGCTTCCAGGTTGGACTGCCCCTTGAGAGAAAGCCATGAAGCCTCAGGAGCCAGTACCAGCCCTCCCCTGTCCTCTTACCACAAGCTTCCTGGTGTGCTGCGTCATTGTCATTGTCCTTGCCTTGCAGAGGTCCAATAGAATACCAGATCCTTGTCCTTCCTAAGATAGGGGAGCAGCCAGGGGGAGATAGAAGTTGGGAATTAGAGAAGGGGAAGGAAGCACCAGGTTTCTGCACCTGCACAGGGTGGTTCTGCAGCGCTGTGGCTAAGCTGCTGGCACAGAGGTACACAGCTGTGTCCCTGGGCTCTGTGGGCTGGATCTTCATGGTGGAGAAGGAGGTCTCAGGCATGGCAGCTGAGAATCGGTCCTTGGGCATCCCTGAATCATCCATAAGAAGCTTGTTGTTAAAGTGAACCAGCAGCTCCAGCCCCTGCACCATAGTCTGTCTGTACCAGAAAATGTTGTCATGGTTTGAATGTGGTTCACATCTCAGAGTTACTGTTTGTCCTTTCTGTGTCACCTTGTGCCTGGGTGTCTGAGTGACGCCAGCATCTGTAGGTTCTGAAAAGAGAGAATCGGTGTACAGATTAAGGAGCAAAATTGCAGCTATAAGTAATAATGAACAAAAATTCAGATTCCTTATTTTTGGAGACTTACCTCCTCCCAGGAAACAAAGAACTACACAACAAAGTACCTTGGTGACCATGGCAAGGTGAGATAGGGAGGCTTCACCCATAGGAGGCCCTCATGAACATGAACAGTGGGGCTCTTGTCTCCCAGAGTGGAGAGTGGTTTGCCAGTGACGACATCACTGTCCCTGCCACAGCTCAGAGAACCTCCTTTCAAATATGAACATCAATCTTCTACAGATTATTGACTAATTAAATTGTAGTTGCTCTGGAATGTGGTTGGCTCATGCAGAAACTTCAAGTGCTTCCATCAGTTGACATTGTCGCATGTGACAAGCACATAGCATGTCTCCCCCTCCACCTTCCCTGATGTATCACATATCAAACTACTTATGGCTATCTCCACTTCAAATTCCAAGCATCAATGAATTCCTTTCTAAGTTTCAATGGCTTCATTATTCCTCTCACTGAAAAGCCCCACCTCCCAGACATACAGAATAACAATTTATTGTTGAGTTAGGACTTTTCCCAGAAGCTTCCTGAATCATTTGGACTTGATCTTCATAACATGGACAAAGCAAATGCCCTGGGAAGAAAGGGCACTGTGGAGGTCTTACTTATAGTGACAGCTAAAGGCTGGTGTTTTTGTGCTGCATGGCCTGTCCCTGCCCAGAGCACAGTGCAGGCTCACATTCTGTTCATCCTTCAGGTGCTGGTGCAACTGGATCAGAGATAAATGAAGGCTTTGACCTTGCTTAAGCATCTTAATAAAGAATTCTGACGTTACTTCTAATCTTCTTACATCTCACAAAGATATTTCAATGATTAAATCTGACTCTACAGTAATACCTAAAATTAACTCTTTTAGGTGAAACCAACTGTCATAACAAGAGAGAAAGACACATGACTAGCTGTCTTGGAAGTCAAATGGTGAAACTATCATGATGGTGGAGAATTAGCCATGCTCAACTCCTCCCTGGTCTAGAGTATATTTGTGCCAGTGTGTGTGTGTATGTGTGTGTGTGTATATGTGTGTGTGTTTTGTTCCCTTTTGTCCTGTCTCCCTGGCCAGGTGTCTTGAAGCTCTGGGCTGTGTGAAGAAAGCAGAGCTGGATCCAGGGCTTAGAGAGAAGATAGTACCATAAACACTCAGATGTCCCTTTGAATCAGGACCCGGCATCTAGGGTGGAGAATCTCTACCTGCACCGAGGGTTGAGCTCCAGGGTATGAGGAGTCACAAGTCAGGACCTGTGAGCAGGTAAGGAGCTCAGCCCATGACTTTGGCATCTCTTTCCTCAGTGCTATGGCACTTCATAGGGAAATAAATCAGACTGGACACCTCAGACCCTGGAAATTTTTTTTTCTAATGATTCAGTATAGATGTGGGTTTCAGAGGTTGAGGGTCCCTCTAAATCACTGTCCCTCTCTGGGCCCTGGTATGAAATCCCCATCACACAGAAGGGTGGGCCCAGCCTGGGATGCAGGAAAGCCCTTTCCATCAGCTGTGATGGTAACTGTCTCTGTGCTGCTTTTCCTACCTCAGGGCACAGAGCTGTCCCACCAGCTCCTTCTCTCTGCTGCCTATGCAGGCCTTGGGGTGGCCCACAGAGCCCAGGTAGCATGCCATGGAGGTTGCTTTCCCACCTCCTTCAGTGGCCAGGAGCCGTCTACTCGATGGTCTACGTCTGCTCACTGAACAAGAGCTTCCTTGCATGGAGTCCACTTCTTCAGCAGGAAGGTGACTGTGATTGTCACAGAGGTGTGTCCTGCCCTCCCGTCTCCATGTCTATGAGGGGGTGGATCAGGGCAGGGTCCTTGTCTACTACAGCACTGGCCCCTAAGCAACGATCTCTGTGGGCTCATGAGACACAGGCATGTGAGTGGGAGGGGATGGGAATCACATGTTCCTCTATTAGGAATCTGGTCTTGTCCATGAGAAACAAAATAACAAAAACAAACAAACAAACAAACAAACAAAAACCCCTATTTTAACTTGACTCTATTGTGGGAGTGCTAAGTTCCTAGAGCTTTATGTGACAACCATTGCAAATGTACCTAAAAATTCCATATGCACTATTCTTTTTAGCAAATTTGCACAAGGGTAGAACATTAGGATCCCACCTTTATTTCCAGTGTTTTCCTGGAAACCACAAGTATGGTTTATGGTGCAGAAACCAGGCCTGAGCCTTCCATTAACTCCCCCTGCCAGACACTTCTCTCAGCTCCTCTGCAGTCACTGAGTGTCCCCTGGTGGCCAACGGGGCAGGCTCACCAGAAGTGAGCTCTTGGCCAAGACCCTGTATGAATGATGCTGTGTTCCCCTGGTTCAGAGGCAGTGGGGGTAGAGTTGTTGGTGTTTTAGGGTCCAAGAGCACCACCATTCTTTCTGATTAAACATCAAAAACACTTGAGAGAGGAATGTTGAGCTCAGAAAAACTAAAGTCCAAACATCTGCCTTGGTGCTGGGATGGGAGGGGCTCACCTATGCAGCTGTGGCTGGCCAGTGTCCCTCTGAATTGAGCGTGCCAACCCTTGATCCTCCTGTCCTAGAGTGGCCAACTCTCCTCCTGAGTGAAGAGTCTGCTCCTAGTTGTGCTGTCATTCTGTGCAGGAGACTGGAAAGCATCTTCCTCACAGGTGGTAAAACACGAAAATCAGCTTAGAGGGCCTAAACTGAGCATGCCTAGCTCTTCCTTCAACATCGCAGTCAGATCACTCAGTTTTCCCACTAGGGAGAAGAATGAGGGGAAGAAACACTGCCCATCAAGGGCAGCTCTCCAGGGAATAGCCATTTCCCCTAAGATGCTCAAGGCTTGCATGGCCCTCACACCTGGGACTCAGCCATTACAGGGTGGGCCAGGAGGGGAGCAGGCTGTGAGGACGGTGTGGCTCCCACCTTCTGGAGGTGTCTCCTTCAGAATCAACCACTGCTCCCCTGAATATAGCTCTGGCTCCAGAACATACGAAATGGTTCATGACAGTGTGGCAATTAAGTAAATTAAAGGCTTTAGCCCTGGCTAAAAGGCTCAGAATTAGCTTTGTATTCCTCTTTTCTTTCTCAGTCATTTCTTTCTCAGTTTTTTTTATTAGTTCTAATCAATTTTACATGACAGTAGAAAGCTCTTTGATTCATTGGACACAAATGGAGCAGAATTTTTCACTTCTCTGGTTGTACATGGAGTAGAGTCACTCCATTTGTGTGGTCATACATGTATGTCCCATTCCACCATCTTTCCTACCTACCTCCACGCCCCCTTCCCCACCTTGCCTCATCCAAAGTTCCAACCTTCATCCTATGTCAGTTATATTTCTTATTATAAAAATAGAGATCAAATGACAAGCTTAAAGGATAGTGAATCATCAATAATAAAAATAAAACCAAGTGATTCTCCAAATTTGAATGTGTCCTACCTCCAACAACAACAAAATTCCTTGTAAATTCCCCAGGGAAGACAAATCTCAATCAACAGTATTTTTCATAAACTCAATCTCTTTTCTCAAATCCAGTGTCTTCCAGGAACAGAATAGTGTTCGTTTCCACTGCAGTTTTTTTTTTAACTTCTACAAGAATAATAACACTTAATATTTTTTCTTCCTCTGCTATTTACTACCAGTCCTTAACAACAACAACAACAACAACAACAAAGGAGCTTGATTTCTGTGTTTAAAATGTTTTTTCAAATTGTCTTGTTTCTTCTCAACCAACAAGTAGCATTAGCCATACTTACTGGCATTGAACACCATCTTTAATTTTATGTTTGAATTCTGATCCACGTCATTAGCTACCTAATATGTTCTGTAGATCTGATTGCTATGATTTTGCTGAGGAGAGGTGTGCACTTAGTGAGTTCTGGGGTCTGGGTCATTTTTTATTTTTTTCTGGAGCTGTGTGTGCCTTTCTTGCCCAGGCTGGCTGCTTGAGGGGGATGAAGTGGGACGAGCAGGTAGCCCCAATGCCAGTCGGGCTGTGCTTCACAGGCTTGTAGGTGCTGGAGAACTCGTCCAGGTAAGGTCTGTTCATCTCAGCCTTGATCTCCACCTGGCTGAAGGTCTGCCTATTGTAGACACCAATCATGCTGCCCACCATTTCAGGCAAAATTACCACGTTCCGCAGGTGTGTCTTCACC